ATCTCAGCTACTTGGGAGGCTGAGGCAGCAGAATCATTTGAACCCAGGAGATGGAAGTTGCAGTGAGCTGAGCTCCTGCCATTGTACTCCAGCTTAGGCAACAAGAGCAAAGCTTCATCTACAAAAAATAAATAAATAAATAAAAGCTTCTGCACAGCAAAAGAAACAATGAACAAAGTGAAGAGACAATCCACAGACGGGGAGAAAATATTTGCAAACTACTCACTTGATAAAGGATGAATAACCAGAATATATAAGGAGCTCAAATAACTCTGTAGGAAAAAACATAATAATCCAATTTTTAAATGGGCAAAAGATCAGAATAGACTTTTCTCAAAATAAGACATGGAAATGGCAAACAGGTATATGAAAAGGTGTTCAACATTAATGATCATTGGAGAAATGCAAATCAAAACTACAGTGAGACATTTTATCTCATACTAGCTAAAATAGCTCTTATCCAAAAGTTAGGCAATAACAAATGCTAGTGAGGATGTGGAGAAAAGGGAACCCTCATACACTGCTGGCAAGAATGTCAATAGTGCCACCACTATGGAGAGTAGTTTGGAGGTTCCTCAAAAAACTAAAACTAGAGTTACCATATGATCCAGCAATCCCACTCCTAGGTATACACCCAAAAGAAAGGCGATCAGTATATCAAAGAGATATCTGTCTCATGTTTATTGCAGCACTATTCACAATAGCCAATATTTGGAAGCAACCTAAGTGTCCATGAACAGATGAGAGGATGAAGAAAATGTGGTACATATACACAGTGGAGTGCTATTCAGCCATGAAAAAAGAATGAGATCTTGACATCTGCAACAACATGGGTGGAACTGGAGGTCATTATGTTAAGTGAAATAAACCAGGTACAGAAAGACAAACGTCTCATGTTCTCACTTATTTGTGGGAGCTAAAAATTAAAATAATTGAACTCGTAGAGATAGAGAGTAGTAGAAGGATGGCTACCAGAGGCTGGGAAGGGCATTGGAGGGAGAGTGGAGATTGTTAAGGGGTATAAAAAATAGTTGGGAAGAATGAATAGGACCTAGTATCTGAGAGCCCAACAGGGTGACTGTAGTCAAACATAATTTAATTGTACATTTAAAAAGAACTAAAAGAGTACGAGTGGGTTATTTGTAATATAAAGGATAAATGCTTGAGGGCATGGTTACCCCATTCTCCATGATGTGATTATTAGGCATTGCATAACTGCACCAAAATATCTCATGTAACTCATAAATACATACACCTACTATGTACCCACAAAAATAAAAATAGAATAAAAAATAAAGATACAGGAAAAGAAGAAAAAATTCATCATGCTGAGTACTTTTGAGGCCTGTTCAGTCTGGTAAATCATATCCTTTTGTTCTGAGCTACTTCAGAATACTGTTTTCTTTGATCATTTTCTCTCCTCCATTTTCTTTCTTTTCTCTGCAGTATGTTTCATTTTATGTGTGCCTCTAATAAGAATCTAACGTTTTTATCACACCTTTTGAGACTTTACCCACTTTAGCCCCATCTTTTTTATTGCATTTTATTTCTGGTTTTGTGTTTTTTTTTTCATTTTCAACATCTCTACTGCCCTCTGAATAGTCTTATCTTATGGATGCACAGCCTTTACTCCTTTCAAGGGTGGGGCAGCATGATCTCTGTTTAAGTTCCTTTTCTCCACTTATTTGTTTTGATATTGGCTTTCCATGGTTAAGGTTTTTCTTGTAATCATTGCCTTTTCATTTATATTAGGAAGGTGGCATCCAATGTTGGCTGGAAGCTCATTAAGTAGAATGAGCTTGCCAATAGGGTCTTTGCTGAGGATGATCAGGCAGGGGCCCTGCTGCTGTTCCTTTGGAAGATTCTGCCAAAATTCAGTATTTCTGCTCTTTCCTCTGGTTTTTGGCCTGGGGAATGTAAACCTGGCAACCGGCATTCTGGGAGCCTACTGGGGAAATAGGACTGTAGTGGGGGTAAAGTTGCACAATTTCATTTAACCTTGTTTCTGATCAGAGCCCCACCTCCATCCCAACTGTGCCTGGCATCATTTGGAAGCCAGCCTGGATCAGTTTCTCCAGAGGGTAAAATTTTAGGCTTCTGGCGGGGCAAGAAGGCCTCGAACTCAGGTTGTATTGGGCAGGGATTTAACTGCTCTTCACACAGAAATATCAAGCCTTCTTCCTTCAGCTCCTCCAATTCCCCAACTTTCAGAGGTCCCTGGTCTTTCAATTCTTGAGTTTTTCTAATGTCTGCAGCATGAATGGACTTGCTTCTTATTGTCATTCCCATCTGCAGGCTTCCAACAGCAGAGGAAGTTGAGTGTTAATTAGGTTTTATTCCTTCTCTTGGTCCTCATGGTGCATACCTTCTTATTAGTTGAATACAAGTCCTGGTAAGTAGTTTCCCTGCATTCTCTTGGACCCATTCTCACAACCCTAGGATGTAGGTATTATTATTAACCACAAGTAGACAGGATGAAGTGGAGTTTGAGAGTGGTAGGTAATCTATATTAGGGCACACTGCCACAGTTTGAACCCAGGCAACTTGACCCCCCTTTCCCTGAGGCAGCATCTAAGGTTGGCATTAAGGTGTGAATTTCAAGTCAACGGTTAACTTTTTTCCCCCATAATTACTATAAAAATTCATGTATTGCAAAAAGAGTTCTTCTAAAAAATGTATGGAGAATTTTCATTAGTGAAGGCTTTTATGCTTTTAAAAAGTAGATGTTACTGAAGATTTCATAAGCAAGGTGATGGTGGTTTCTAACTCACATTAAGTTTATAAGCTAAACAACCAGCTAAGCATCCCAGGCATCCCTGGGCTCAGGATATCCAGGGGCCACTGCACCTCTCTGTGGCTTTATGTCCACTCAACTCTTCCAGCCACTTTTTCCTGCTGAGTCCCCTTCAAGAGCAACACAAAATCCCTCCCCTTGGATAAAAAAGAATAACCTACTCTCTTCCTTGGAAGCACCACCTTGATGTTCCAGACACAGATCAATGCCTGTTCTCAGACAAAAGCAGTGCTGTTTCTTATAGGAATTGTGGTAAGTTAAATATTCCTACTTCATTAGACTGTGAGAAGAAATCCAGGTTTACAAAAATGATTATGGTTTTGTGCATTTCTATATGATGGCTAAATAATTCGAGATGCACCCCAAGGGGTCCAAACATTCCAGGAATTTCTGGGGCTATAAAATGACCTTTAATTACTTATCCCACCTTTCTCCCATCCCTGCCTGGCTTCTCATATTCTCTTTGCTTTTCTCCACCAGCAGACACAGGTATCGCATATCAGAGAGAAAGAATAGTTCCAGAGGAAATCTGTATTGCCCTTATTTCATAAATTGGGTTTAATAATTCATCTAAAAGAGAATTTTTAGCAACAAGGTTTGCATAGAAAAAGAGAACATGCCTTCCCTAAATAGACATCTGTTACTCTTGCTGCAACACTGAGTGGGGAGATAAAAGGCCAGTTAGGTCCAAGTGCATCTTTCAGATTCACTAAGGACATCATGGTCTCCAGTCCCTTAGGCAAAAGTGATTTCAGAGCAAGCTGTGCAAGGAAGGGAATTTAAACCACACCCTAAAAGTCTCCTCTTTGTCACTGTAGAAAGTCACCTAGAGGTCATTGTGACAAACATGCCTATTCCTAAAACATCTGCAGATTAAATGTCCTGGTCATAAAATGCCACTTGCCTAGACTCCCACCGTTGCCTCAAATACTAAACCAATGTTGCCTTGTGAGGCAGACGGTGGCAGGTCTGGGGTCTGCAGGTCTCCACACGCACACACAAAGCTGTTTAGAATGTCAAGAAAATCAGTCATTCACATAGCTGCGCTGCTCATGCGTGACAGGCTGACTTTAAATATTTGTCACTCCAACTTGCTGAAGGGGGAAGGGAAGCTGGTAGAATGAAAGGGGAAGAAAATTAACAGAAACCCTAATTGACCAGGTTTGCTGCCTTGAATTTTTCTGCAGTAGCTCTGCGGCAAGCAGCACCATCAACGTTTTCAGACCTGACAATGGGAAAGTTGCCAGGGAGTCAAAGATCCAGCTAAAGAGGCAATTAATACCTCCTTTTTTATTTTAGAGACAGCATCTATCTCTCTGCCTTAAAAAAAAAAAAAAAAAAAAGTGGCTTGAGAATTCTTTCCTAGTTCTTTTTTCCAAAGTGCCCCTATTTTACCATGTCCTTTGCTGAGTCTTGTGCAGTCCTGGGAGCATCTGAATAAACTGAATTTCCCAAATGTTTCAAGTATCTGCAATCACATAAAGTCTTTCTCTTGAAACTTGGCGTACTCTAATACAATAACTGAGGTATGTTTTTCCTTGAAGGCTGTAATTTGTTTATTAATAAAGATTGCCTGGAGCAATAACACCCAGAATTGAGAAAGAAAACGGGCACATTAATTCTACCAGGAGGTGAGTAGGCTGAGTCCACCTTTCTATATAATAGTTTGACCCCTTTAAAAGTGTGATGATCTTTGACCTGGCAATGCCATTTGTCCTAAGGAGATAGTCATAATGTGTCTAAAAAATTGCTGCTTTCTAGTGTCCATCATTTATAATGGCAAAAATTGGGGAGCAACCTAAATGTCAAAAAACAAGGCTAGTGACAAGTCATGGCAAATTTGTACAATGAAATACGGTGTAGTCATTAAAAACATTTGTAGTAGAATATTTAATGTGGGGAGATGTTCGTGATGCATAATTAAATAGAAAAATTATAAAACACCATGTACATTATGATGCTGTTTTACATTTCTTTTCATCAATTTTATGATAGCATATGCTTAGAAAAAAAATCATTGGATTTTCAGCAACATACAGTATTACAGGGTGGGGAGCTGAGATTATGGAATTTTTCGTTTCCTCTTTGTCCTTTCCTATATTTTCCTAATACAATGCATCACTTAAAGTCAGAAAAAAAATCAGAAAGGATCAGATGTGTTATTAAAGTTTATGTATTGTCACATGTAAAAGATGCTACGAATCAGTTTAACATGCCGGTGCCCTTTATTTGATAAAGTACCATGTGTGAGATCCCATTTTGCCACCCCAAAGTCAACGACTCCGATGTTTTCCGTGCCACTGAGTCACACGGTGGGCTACCTCTGGGTTCCCGATAAACTGAACTGGTATTTTAGAAGGAGGGAGGCGAAAAGGATTCATTATCCAATGCGTTTCAAACCGGAGTCCGGGTGGCCTGCGTTTAAGAAATAACGCGTAATGGAGTTAAGATGCAGATTCTGGAGCCAGACTGTCTGAGTTCAAAGGCTCCTCCTAATAGCTGGGCGCCTTAACCTCTCTGTGCCTCGCTTCCTCGGCCGGAAATTGAAGCTAATAAGAGCAGCGACTGCCCCGGGCGGCGGCTGAGGGCTACCTGTGTGGATCTGAGCTCAGCGAAAAGCGGAGCCTTGATCGGGTGAGCACGCTGGGTGCGCGCTCTCCAGAGCAGCCCAGCATCTCCCGCCCGCCTCACTGCCCGCTCCACCCCGGCGCAGGGCGCCCAAGTCCCCGGGCAAAGCCTGCGCGCTCCCCGCCGCGGGAGACAGAAACAATGTGCGCGCGCCCACGGCCCACCTGCACGCGCGGCACACAGGCGCACACATGCACACGCACGCCTGCGTAGCTCTGCGGCTCTGCTCCGGCCCCTCAGGCCCGGCTTAAAAGTGTTTCGTGCTCTAACTTACCAAACACCGGGCAGCTGGTAGAATGAAAAGGAAAATAAATGAACTGCGACGAAATAAAGCAGGCCTTTCCGCAGTCGGCCACCTCCAACAACAGCCACTTGGTTCCCAGCGCTTTCCACTACCCGGCCTGGGCAAAGCCAGAGAAAAAGGGGATAGCTTAGAGCGATGGATTAACAAAGGGGGAGCAACAGACCAAAGTAACTTCCTTGTATTGCCCCCCACCCCGACCCTTCACCTCGTGGGGACACCACCCTGGCTCTGGTGAGACCAGCATCGCCATCCCTCTCTCCTGCACGAGACCGTCTGCTGGGTGGAGGACCGGGCTTGTTCTTGGGAAAGTGGGTGTCAGGGCCCGTGCTCAGAGACCTTCCAGAGCAACTGTATCAAATGACGCTGGTTTTCTTCCCAGCCAGTCCCCAGCCACACCCGCAGAGGACAGCAGTGGCTGCCCGAGACTCCATTTCCTGCCTAGCCTTGGACAGCAAAGCCACCCGCAGGCACCTTCAACTAGGTGGGTCTCACCCGCATGATTCAAGAAGCTCTTTGGGAAAAAAAATTGAATTCGCCATTGAGAACACACATGGGAAATCAGTCATTGTTTTTGGTTTTTATGATGGAAACATCAGGAACAAAAAAAAATCACATTTTTTTTTTTTTTTGAGACGGAGTTTCACTCTTGTTGCCCAGGCTGGAGTACAATGGCGCGATCTAGGCTCACTGCAACCTCCGTCTCCCAGGTTTAAGCGATTCTCCAGCCTCAACCTCCTGAGTAGCTGGAATTACAGCCGGGTGCCACCGCCCGGCTAATTTTTTGTATTTTTCCTAGAGACGGGGGTTTCTCCATGTTGGTCAGGCTGGTCTCGAACTCCTGACCTCAGGTCATCCGCCCGCCTCCGCCTCCCAAAGTGTTGGGATTACAAGTGTGAGCCGCTGTGCCTGACCCAAAAATCGTAATTTTGTGTAGGTTCATGACTGCTTCCTCTCAGCAACCCAGAGCTCTTCAAAGTAAAAATAAAAATAAGCTTGAAGGTTTTTTTTCTTGTGTATATTATGGAATGTATATTAAAGTCCTGAAATACTAAAACTCCGTTGGAATTGTATTCGGTTGGTACAAAAGTAATTGCAGTTTTTGCCATTTAAAAAAAAATTACTTTTGCATCAGCCTAAGAAGTTTTTATTATCAAGTAAATTTGACCAATTGAACAGACTTTGAAAGAAACAGAGGTAAAAGGAAAATCAGCAGACAAGAATATTAGAAGTCTACTATTTTGTAACTACTGATCCTGTTTGAAATCAGTTCTCCCCTTTTCTTTATACTGTCTCCCCGCCTCCCATACAGTAGAGTTTGACAGATAATGTGGTCTCACTCTGGAGCTGATTTGACCCCACTCCCCTTTTGGCAAAACTTTTATTTGCATTTCCCTTGTGCTCCCAACAGGTCTGTATATTAACAACATGCCTCGTTTTTGGCACAACAGCCTCATTAATTATGTCAGCAGAGAGCTGGCACTAGGGTTCCTCAGTGCCTGGTAATTCCCATTTCCTTGCTGCTGGCTTTGCTGCCTCTGAACCACCAACCATCAGCAGCCCTCATTTTCCCTCTGCTTTCCCAGCCTCCCTCCTCACTTCTGTGCCGCATGCCCCACGCCCCACCTCCTTGCCCACTTTCCGATACTGCAAAGAAAAGAACATGAGGTCCCAGAAGAATCACACAGCGGAACTCCACTGGTTTTGTTAATATGATTATTATTTGGCCTGAAAGTGGTAGATTTCCTGGATCCATATCCCAAGTCCTTCTGGCCCTCTTTGGTAAGCTTTCATGTTGATGATGATAACAAGGGTTATCATTTCTTGAGTCTTTACTATGCACCAGCCCCTGTGCTTTAAAAAAAAACAAAAACGGATTACCTCATTTAATCCCCAAAACAACACTAGAGGCAGCTATCATAATTAATACCATTTGACAGATTAGAAAATTGAGGCTCAGAGACTTAAGGTCACAGGACCAGAACTGGAAGGGCTAAGGTTGAACTTAAATATGTCAGTTGTCACCACTGCACACCAGGATATGAGGTGACCCCTTCTGTCACAACATGAAGCAAAACTAGCAAAAAGTGACAGGGCGCTCAAGAGCTGTGAAACTTGGAAGTTACTTTGAAAAATTAAATGGCAGATAGTGCAGTGGCCATACAAAATGTCAGAAAAGCCATATTTAAGAGTATCAATTTGTCAAATCATTGGCAAGACAAGAACAACAACAAAAAAACTGATTATATTTTATTTTGCTTCCTTTTTAGTTTCTCAAGCTTGCAATAAAATGCTGAGATCCTGGCCAGTAATTTCCCCCTCAGATCTAACCTGCCTTGCCCAATGACTAGGTAAGTAGGGCACAAGCAGTTGGATTCTCAGATGGTACTCCTGATTTTAGTATTAGACCATTGGCCAGACTACCACATTCCCTTCCCAGCTGCATTTGGTAGCTGGGTCGACATCCAGGGAAAGCCTTTTAAAGAACTCAGGGCTCGCCTCCCACCCGCTGGAGACCTGCAGTGGCTGCCATATGGAAACAACCCGGTGGTCATTAGAAGTCCTTTGACTAATAAGAGTTCCCAGCCATTTTTCAAAACATTTTAAAGTGTCAATTTTATACCAGGCACTGGGCCCAGGCACTGTGGATAAATAAATGTGGTTTCTATTCTAATTTTACTTAAAATTAATGTTTTAAAATAAATTGGAACAGCTGACTCATGGGGCAGACAGAAACCAGGGATGCAGGACAATTCATGCTGTGTAAGAAAGCTAATAGCAGAAAGGATCCAAATGCACTCTGAAAAAAGAAAAGACCTTAAGGACTGGATTTTTTATTGTTTACTGAAGATGAAGAGACTTTCTCAAGAAGGCATAGGACAGGTTTCTTGTCCATACCGCAGGGCAAGGCAAATGGTTTATCATGGCAGCTAAACTGCATTATTTTCTAAAGTTACCAAAAGAGTACATACTTGAAATGAAAAATTCAAGCCCTATAGAAATATTAAAAAATAGTAGCCCTTTCACAGTCTCCTGAGCTACAATCTCACTCTAGGGATAACTACTCTGAACAGTTTAGTGTTAAATCAAAGGAGTCTAGGCTTCTTTCCTGAATATGACAGGAAAAAAAATTTCCTAAGGAACATGACCCAAAGGAAAACAGACCACAGAACTTATGGAGTCTCAGCTGCTGGTTTTCAGGATCCAGGATCCTCCCTGGTGGGATAGCTTATTCATGCCTGATCCTTGACCTCTGCTATCTACATTGCAAAAAAAAAAAAAAACCTAAGATGGATAACATTTGCATGTGATTGTCCAGGACTCAGTTACAGTCAGCAGGCAAACTACCATTCCATCCTCTGGGTAAGGCATTCTAGGCTCTGGTTAGAGGCCAAATGTGTTCATCTGGCTGCTGCCACAGTTAAGTCTTAGCCATCGTTACTGTCTTTATGTTAAATTAACTCATCACATTAGTAATGTACAGAACCGTGGGTAATGGAACAGGTACAATTCAAAGCAAGAGGAGGAAAAATCAGGCTGATGAGTCAATGACTCAGGTGAGGCACTGGAATAGGGGCTTGGGCAACTGGCATTCTCGAGGGAGTTTGAAAAGGAAAAAAATGGGAACATGGCTCAAGAGATGGGCTGGGTTTACACCATAACTTCACTCTCTTTTCAGTTTTCCTTGGAGCACATCAGTATAATATGAATAATATCTATCTAATATCTAATATATAGATATAGATGTATTTTATATGTACAATATAGTATATAATATATACTATATTATGTATAATATATTACTATGTCATATAAATATATAATTTAAATATAATATATAATTATAATATAGCATAATACAGATTTGCATTAGTTTTGATCAGTTTACATCAGCACAGATTTAACAAAGGACTCCACACATTCTGCTCCAGAAAGTTGACCTTGAAGGCTAGAGTGAGGAAGAATGGAGCCACAGGGGCCACTGGGCCCCTGATAGCCATTCTGCCCTGCATGGTCCATCATAGAAGGAAACTACATGCCTCAGCCTCCCTTGTTTAGTGCAGCCATGTAACCTGATTCTGCTCCAAGGTAATTCGTGGAAGGGATGTGTTCAGTGTCTCTGGAATGTCCTCTATTTTAGGCTGATTTCCCCCAAAACAGATACTAACACAAAAACTTGAGTATAAGTTTTTTGTCTAGGGGTGATTCCAGGAAGTATTAGTAGGAAAGTGGGGTAATTGTGTTAGTGTGAGTCTTCTGAGAAGTAGTTGCCAAGATGGGATTAAACATGAAAGGATTTTATTAGGGTAACTGTCAATGTGAGGGAGAAAGGGGAGGGAGCCACACGAGCCTGAGAGAGCCATCAGAACTCCAGCCAAGTCTGACCCTGAGTGAAAGAGATGGGGAAGGAATGTCTTAGACTACCAGGCTGTCTATGGAAGGGTCAGCAAAGCCAACATGGAACCCTGGAGCCAAAGCCAGTGTCAGAGGAGACCCACAGCTCCTAGGAATGACCTGCATTCCAGTGTCCCTGCTCAGTCACTGACTGGGAGCAGTCCCTGGGAAGCATGTCCTTGGGCTTCCTAGTGCAGCAATTGCTGGGTCCTTGGTTACCAATACTCCCTCTAATTGGAAGTAGAACTGCTAGGTACATTCTCATGGGCACTACAGGAAATGAGGTAGGAGAGGGAGGCAGGCATCAGAGTGCACTGGTGAGCAGTTGATCACTGCCAGCAGCTGAGGTGCTGTCCTGGTTGACCTCTAAGAGACTAGAATCTTCCCCACTTGAGGGGCACAGAAGGTGAGAACAAACTCCCAATCTCTGGAAACCATTGATTTGTTGGCCTTCCCTATCACAGCTAAAGTAGACTCTTAATTAGCACAGTGTTCAACACCAAGTGTGAATGTGTTAGAGACACCTTTTTCTCTTTCTTTCTTTCTTTTTTTTTTGAGAGGGAGTTTCACTCTTGTTGCCCAGGCTGGAATGCAGTGGCACAATCTCTACTCACTGCAACCTCTGTCTCCCAGGTTCAAGTGATTCTCCTGCCTCAGCCTCCCGAGTAGCTGGGATTACAGGCGCTCACCACCATGTCCGGCTGATTTTTGTGTTACTAGTACAGGCGGGGTTTCACCATGTTGGCCAGGCTGGTCTTGAACTCCTGACCTCCCGTGATCCACCCGCCTCGGCCTCCCAAAGTGCTAGGATTACAGGCATGAGCCACCACACCTAGCCTAGAGATAACTTTTAAACTTCATTTTGATAAGGCATTTCCACTTGCTCCTCCCAGGAATCTTTTCACCAAAGTTGCTACCAAACTGAATGCATAACTGATCTAAGTTATGTTTCTTCTCTCTCTGCACTCCTCTCCCACCTCCTGCTTCCTTACCTGCTACAGAACCAGAAATGTGTGATCACCCCCAAAGTAAGGAAGACAGAACATGGGATTCTGGGTAAAACCATGTAG